GGGGAGAGAGAGAGAGAGAGAGAGAGAGAGAGAGAGAGAGAGGAAAGCGTGTATATATACGATAGATAGATAGATAGATAGATAAAACAGATCTTCTTCGTAGCCTTCGACACTGACGAAAGATCGCACAGAAAGTTTCGAGCTACTACGAATCAATTCGCGCGCGTGTTTGTGTGCATGTGACTTCTGCCTCGGCTCCGTACAAATATTTGTGCCGCTGGATGGGAGAGCTCGGTAAGCAGACTACGGATGTTTGCGGAACGAGCGATCTTGACACTGTTCCTCTAGCCGCGATATATCGACGGTAGTTTTTAATAAACTACAGAACCAAGGAGAAAATTATAGAAAAACATACGTGCCACGGAAATCCCTTTCACGGTGCGAAGGGATATTCCATGCAAGCTCATGGAAAGCATAGCAACACTCTTCTTCATATAACTTGAGCAAAAATTTCAAAAAATGATTGAATCAAGTTGAATACGCCACACAATTTGTATCTTGATGATACAAGTGGACGTGGCAAGATATCCCTGTAGACATTTACATCCAGCGACAGATTTATTTGTGATTTCTCGATTGAGCCGATCTCTCGTGCACGTCCCGAAGGAGAACAATTCGGGAACGCGTGCGCGCGCGAAAGGAGCAAAGGGCGAAGATTACGACTAACCGCAGACCAAATAAAATACACACGTCGAATTACCTTCGACGCGCCGAGTAACCATGTAATAACATCGTGTATCATGTAACAAGAAAATTATTTTACGTATATACGATAACGCATTGTGTATTTGGAGACAGTTAATCACACACACACACATACAAATATTTCTCTATAATAAAATCGCGACTAAAATAATATTTTTCTATCCGCTTATGTCTCAACGATAACGCGTACCATCAAATGCTTAGTACATAATTAATAATAGAACGTAAGAGATATTTAAAAGTATCAATTTTTTAAGTGTGTAGCAAGCAGTATTTGTCTCAAGTAATATCTCTCAGAGATCGATGACATGTTCCGTGGATCGATAATTTAGTAGTTACGGTTTGGTAGCCAATAATTCTGGCACAGCGTTGGGCATCAATTGACAAAAGTTTTCTGTGACTAAAACAATCAACAAATCAAAACGAATGTGTGTAATCACGAACAATTTGATCGATAGGTGAAATTAATAAGAAGAAATTACTATTCTATTCCTAGAAGAAAAAAATTTATATTAAGAACAAAACTTATAAATGAAAAACAAAGTTTCTCTAATTTCAAGAGTATTGTACTTGGAATATTTTTCTTTTGATTTTTATTGAAGAATCTTTGTGAAGCTATATAGGAGAGGATTTCAGTAAGATGTACAGGATTAAGTACGTGCTCGGAATTTGTACTTTTGTCTTAATGTCCAACACTGTTCTGGCATTGCCTCGCGTGTAGTTGTAGAAGAAAAGAAATGAACATGACATCACTCACGGAAATACGGCGCAACATGCGCGTAAATAGGCCGTGTCGAAGTGAGCGCACGTTTTAATTAATGTAAATGCTTCTTTTTGTACGTACGTAGCCGCGTCGATTTTCTCGCAGCTTTTATCATATGTGATATAGGAGGTAGGCTCTAATACACTGTAACGCGACGACGAATATTTATGTATGTAACGTACGCAGAGGGAGAGAAAGGAAGTGAGAGAAAGAGAGACAAGACGAGAGAGAAGGAGAGAAAGAAAGAGCAATAAAGTTATGCGGACTTGTATAACCCCAGAGAACACCTGTCCGCGTTTTCTCACCCCCGTGTAACGATCGAACTTCGTTACGGATGTAAAACCCTGATCAATTCTCGATAACTCGTCGTGACATTGACGCATCGATTCGGCGCGTTCTCACGCTCGCTCTCGTGCTTGCGCGTCACCGGAATTTTCCATTCGGAAAAGTTGTAATTTCTTCTGTATCCAGCCAAAACGTAAGTTTGTGTCGCAATGACGCGAAATGCTCGGGATTAAAAGTTAAAGCGTTAAAGTGTAACGAGCGTCCAACAAATTCTGCCGGGAAAATTCGATTCCGAATTTCTCGTCGAAGTGGCATCATGATCTTCCCCGCGATCATTTGCAACCTGTGCGCGAAAGTTTCGAAGAAGCCAGGCGCGCGTCTTCGTGAAGCGGAAAAGCGATTCCCCGTCGATAGCCCGCGCATTTGCGCGACAATCGCCGACAGCGTTCGGCGACAGCCAAACTTCCGGTCGTCGCGTCGCGTTTATCTGCGGCCCCGCGTCGCATCCTCTCTTTCTCGCGGGAGGTAGCGCGCATTTTTCGCTCTTATCCGCCGCGCGCGATAACGAGGACATTCAACGCTTAAGAGCTCTCGCAAACGTTCGCACGTCAGCCCAATCAGTCGTATTGTGTGACCGAAGTCGCCACCTCGCGTCTCGACACGCGGTAAGGCGAGAGCAAATAGTGGACTATTGACGCGGGCCAATCACTTTGCGTAATGCATCGCGTGTCGCGTATTCGGCTGTCACGGCGAGTTACCGCGACGAAATTGGAAACGTCACTTTCACATTCGGACGGCTGCTTGCCGAACAATCGGTCTCCCGCGATCGCTTTTGCCAAACGCGGAATTAAATCCGCTCGCGACGCGCAAACGTTTTAATATTATAATTTTTGCCACTCACGTTACTCTCTTAAAGTAAATCAATAAAAATGCTCCTGACTGAATCAATAAAAGGAGTATTTTACCGCTAATCAGCGAATATTCACCGATTTTCCGTGGAAACACTCTACTGCTTCATCTTATATCTCAATGATTTTGACTAGAGAAAGTAAGATTTCACCGCAAAATCTGTAATACAAAACCCCGAAAAATATAATCTTATTCTTAAAGGAGATTCTCTTATATGTGGCCTCAATAGAATTCTTCTAAACTAAGAAGAAAAATATTCTAAGTACAATATTTGCAAAGTTAGAATAATTTTAATCTGTAGATAAAATAACAAAGTTCCTCTTCATATAATGCATGAAAAATCAGGAAAATAATAAAAATCTTTAGTCAAAATCTCAAACGCAAAGGAGGTCAATAAGAACTGACAGTTTACGTTTAGAATAATTGCGTCTTTCATCTACAGTACAAATTTTGCTTTTAATAGAAATTTCTTCCAATAAAAGAATATTCTGCTTCGAGTAAACATATCCTCTTGATTGAAGAAGAAAAAGATTAGAATAATATCTAGTAGATTTCTGATTTAATAGTTTACTTCAATAGAAGAGAAATACTCTTTTGCTTAGAATATGGGATTACAAAACATAACACCTTATAACTAGAGTTCCTTTTTTCAAGCTAGGAACGTTTTCCTCTTGGAATCCTCTTGAGGCCATGTATAAGAGGATATCCGCTGAGGAAAAGATTATATTTTTCTAGGTGAATACAAATCCATTATACACTGTGCCAAATCCAACTTTCCGCGTTTGTAGCGATGAAATTAACGGCTTCCAGGCGATTTGCCTGCAATGTGTAATGTCTGTGTTTGTAAACTGCATCAACAATAGGTACAGTCGCTAGTGTCAACTGATCCTTCCAGCATGATTTTACTGATTGCTGTATTGTACGACTGAACCATCAGTTCTAAGTGCAACATTTCAGTGAAAAATGTACTGATTGTACTTTAGAGAGTATATCACCGTTTTTGTTCGACGACGCTTTTGTATAGCTGCACAGCGCGTGCTTTATATATCACGATGACATAGAGTTTCACGCGCCAATGACTGAATGGCCTTTCACACGCGGAAATACGGTTTGCTTGAATTTTAAGAGTCACGTCACGATCGAGACGGCAAACTAGCACTCGTCCGCGAATTATGCTAATTACGATGGCGCATCTAATCACTGAACAACGCGGTCAAGGCGGACCGGTATTATTTCTATTCTGAGTTTGTCCTTTCTTTCATTATATCTCCTTCATCAATATTCAAACTGTATGAAAAACAACGATTTATGCGATATCAATCGTTATGTAACATGACATATTAAGATTCAAGAACGTAAGTATAATGTCTAGGTATAGCTTCCGGAATGGAGCCGTGTCTTGAATCAGCGATATGCCGACGTTAAATCTAGAACGTAAGTATAATTATAATCAGCGCCTGTATTAGAAACCTAAACGGTTTCTAGTATATAATTTATACTGTGTTATATCTCTCTCCAATTATATTATACTTTAACAATTACATTATATTGTATTTAACAATCAATGAAATAGAATGAGGAACAAATTCCACTCGCGAGTCAATTCTTCATTAGTGACGTTGCCAATTCTCATGGATCTGTCATTCCTCAGTTTTTTTAGTGATAATCTTATCACTCGAGAGATATTGAAAATACAAAGATAAAAATCGACAAAAGAAAAAAGGAAGAGACGAGCTACTCGACAAATCGTCGTTGCGGCTCAAGGCTTAGCATAAATATTCACATAAGCGTTGTACGTATAATAAATAAAGATACAAAGTGTCATATCGTGAGGACGAATTGTCTTCACTTCGTCACGATGACATGTCAATGATACATGATATGCGAATCGTCTCTCTTGCGTAAGAAAGATTGAAATCTTGACGCGAGCCTTCTTCGCACGCACGCGTGAACCACACCGATAACAGACCGTCGACGAGATCGCTGTCGATGGCGTGCTGACGACAGGCGCATTCCACCAGAATCCCCGAGGCTATTGTCTTGCCAATGCGTCTGTCCCGATACTCATCCAGAATGCACTTTCTGTCCGCGCTATCTTCGTATTTTCGTGCGATTCGCCTGCCCTTTTCGCGCATCGAGTCTCGCCGCCTTATGCGGTGCATCGACAACATAATGCAATTCATAAAACTCGATCCTTCTTCTCGACGCGATTCGACGCGACTCGCCGCGTTCCCGTCGAAAGGACACCGTGCTCTCCTCGAAAGGATTCGGATATTTAATCTCTTAAATATAATTTCCGCGAAAAGAACACAAATACAATTACAGTTATACTGAGTAGAAAAATTTCCGCGAAAAAGACCGAGAGGGACTGACTGAGAGAGAGACTTAGAGAGAACCGAGAGGAGCTGAAAGCGAACATGACTGACCTGAGGGATGAAGAACGCCCGAGAGATACCGTTAGGAATCGTAGGAGACCGTAGGGAACCGAAAGACCGAGAGCTGAGCATTTCCCTTTTCTCTCAGTAACTTTCCCAAAATTTTGAAAGTAAATAAATAAATCCCGAATTTTCAAAAATCGGTCTTAGAAAATGGGGTGGAGCATGCGTATCTCGTTTATCGCCTAAAGCACAACACACGCCTTTTGCGTGAATATTCCTAGATGTTCTCAGTAACTTTATCAAAATTTTGAAAAAATTTACAACTTTCCAAAAATCGTTCTATGAAAGTTGGGAAAGTAGCAGGTTTACCTTCTCTAGCTAGTTGGTAACTAGGCTAGTTGCTGACTACATTTCGACTTATTTTCTACTTGGGACGTTTTGTTCATTCGATAAATTTTTTTATAGTCGTAAATCTAATGAAAAATGTATTTCAGAAAAATGTCAATTTAACCGCCTAAGATTATTATCGCGCGACGAGAAAGAGAAAAATACGAATTGAGTGACTTGAACGAACGTGTTTTATTCGTCGAAATAAGACTCACCGCGCGAGAAAGTCTTCTATTTTCTTTTTATTTCGCGACCTCGACTCCATCTTCTTGTCTCAACTTGGCGAGCAACGAGCGAGTGTGTTCCGTCGGTACGCTGCATCCGCGTGCAAATAGATAACTCGCGCGGTGCACTCCGGGGAAGCGTGCACCTGAAGTGACAAACGGTCGGCCGTGTATACGTAGCTACCTTTGTGTCGGCATGTTGCTTTTGTTGAATCGCTCGTATTGTCCCGCTAAAAGAGCTACCTAACGCGTCGAACGGTTTTCTTGGTCGACGTGTGCTCGCGATTGGAATGTCGGATTGCGCGTCGTTCGTAAAAGCGATCACAGTTAAATCGCTTCTTTTGTGTTCTAACGCTAAAGAACTGTCGAAAAAAATTATTATTTCGTGTCCCCTCAGTTAAAAAAAAAAAAAATTCGACGTATTTCCATGTGAATATTTCCGTGTTTGAGACATTAAAAATAAGGAGTGAACGAATGTGTGTGATTAAGGAATATAATTGTAAACCAAGTCCTCTTCTTAACTATGTAAGCTGAATATACTGAGTTAATTGTTATATGTACACGGGAAAAAAGATTTAATTCGATTAAACAAATGTCTGGGTGAAATATGAAAGAGCCAGAATTCCGATTGACTAATCGGATTCCAATCCAATTAAACTCTTCTTTTTGTGTAGTTAATCTGTTCAATTAGTTTGCCTAACATTTCCGGGCAAGATCGTACTAATGTTGCTTTAGCTGGGTCGTTTTGGGTCGCGTCGGTTTGGCTGTGGCACCGTTGCACTTGCGGATGCGAAGGGATGCATCACCGCCTGCGTCCTTTCCGCCCGTAGAATGCGAACGAAATCGAATAGCGAGCGGCGCCGGAAAGCGTTCCAGATTCTCTCGTATGTAAAACTGCGCGAAAATCCGCCATGCATCATCGTTCAGAAACGCTTGCAGTTGCGACTATTCGCGTGATTCGAGTATACTTCGGTGCTTCAGTGCTCCTGTTCTCACAATGTTCTCACATGTTCTCACAAGAGTGGTTTATGATAAAACATCTTCTTGTGACTGTCTGATCGTCGATTCATAATTAACTCATTTTTTGTCATCTCTATGTAAACTACTCGAGAGTTTTTTCCTTCCCTAATTATATGTATGCTCGGTTGCAGAACGGTTTACACACATTTTTTGACAATGGCAAAAATGCAGTGTTCTATGTTATCCAAATTGAGAGACACTTTTAACGTGTTTGCGCGGTAATTGATTCTGACAGGAGCCGAGTCGACAATGCACGATTTAAGTATTGATCCTTTATTATACTCTTCTCTAGATTGCATTCTAAAGCGTCCATTTTGAGAAAAATTATTTTGAAATTTTTTTTCCTTTCTTTATACATCATTTTTAGTGTGAAACGCTGCGACTTCATTGGGAAAAATGTATGCAAAAATGTTTGCCACCAAGCACATCTCACACCCTGTTAGATTTTCGTCCCTTACTTAATTAATTAAAAATCTCTAACAATCTCGCGATTAATTTCACGCGTGGCAATCAAAAGGACTGGACTGTATAATACCGAATTTGTCCCTGCGATTATATATACATACTGATTTTCCCTCGAGTTTTGCTTCGGAGAATCCTCTTAACGGACAGGTTACGCGCGCTCCGTGAAATCGGAGAATAAACAAGGCTGAAGTGGAAACGTGATTGCACCAAAATCCGGGATGCAACAATGCGCGCGAGTGTGTGCATAGCCGAGAGGGCAAGCACTCGGTGGTATCGAGCTATCCTACGAGTAGTCGCAAATACGCAACGAGCAAACAGCGACAGGCAACAGTGACGACGACATGGCAGTCGTCGTCGTCGTCGTCGTATCGAGGAAGTGGAAAATAAGGGTGGAAGCGCAAATACACACGATGCGGTCTCTCCCTCCGTCCCGTCACCCCTTTCGATTCAATTCCTTCACCGTACACACGCGCGCGCGCACACAAGGACACGCTACTCTTTCCCCGAGATAACGTCGATAACGTACGAGCTCCGATATTCGCGTATCGAAATTCCGATCGTTCAACGTCGCCTTCCAACGCCCGATCGACAGGCGAACGGGCGTTCTGGTCGTTCTGCGTGCGCAGTAGCGCGTTTCCGGTTCGCGAGCTTCCTTCGATAGCGATTTTAAGAGTGAACTGTGCGCGCGCGCGTCGGAAACAGCGATAGAGCGAGTGATTTTCGGCGGAAGAGCGAGAGAGTCGTCGCTTTTAAACGCGTCGCGCAAATCTCTCCCTCTCGCCTTTACGTCGCGGGAAATATGCTCGATACGCGGGAAATGCGTGCCGCGCGCAGGAAAAGTACACCCTGGTAATCTCTTCGGACGGTGATGTTAGTTTGAGAGACGCGGGAAATTGCGGCGCTTACACGACGCTGTATGGAGAGATAGTCGCGCTATCTCGGTTGGAATTTCCGTTTTAAAGTCGCGCGATTTACGGACCACGTGAGAGGATAATCGCGAAATATGCGAGCGTAATTGCGAAACTGGCGTAGCATGCCGGAGCGTGAAGCACGCAAGACTCAGAAACGGAAATTACGAGTCGAGGATTAACACCGGACGTGTAACGTACGAGAATAAAGAAATGCTACGCGCACGCGAATAACGAGGTCGTGTCGCACCCCGTCTCGGTTAAGCCTGACCCCATTTCGTACGTTTCTCCACGTGTTTTTGCCCGCTTTCGTTTCAACTTTGCGTCTCCGACGAGTACCGAAGTCTACGAGATATCTAACCGACGCGTTAACAATATCCCTGATAATGCGCGCGTCTTCCTCAACATGTCGAAATTTTCTCTCGGTGAAGACAGGTTTCCGTCGATATAATAATTTTTTCCTTATTACACGATAGATAATTCGACACATGCTTGTCAATGTGTAATGACAGCGAAGGTACTTGATCACTTCGGGGTATATCGCATACCACATGTTACTCTATTACGCATCTAAACTCTAAAAACTGTTGGAGTAAAGTACACTCACCATCGCTGCGATGCGCGATGCCTCTCTTGTCCCCCTTTCCCATATTTCCTTCTCCCGCTGTTCTCTAGGATAAGATGCTGCTTCTTGCACTCCCGCCTGAAATCCAGTTGCAAAATATTTCGTTACTACGCTAGATCACGCTAGGTTGAGTCGCCGTGTCCGCTCGTTCTTTCTCTGTATACGTAAAATGAATATATATGTACGAACTGCTATATATGTCCCGACTGCTCGTCGGTGGCGACGCTGTTCTTTTTATTTCTGCGTAAACACGGTCCCCATTGCGAATTGGTATATGAGCCCGTTGGCGAATGAGATAGTGCAGTATGAAATTGCGATTGTTTCGCGATAGCGAAAAAATAAAATTGCACGCGCTGGGTCGATTACGCTGCAGTTGTGTAAATTGTGGATAACACAAAGAGAAACCATTGGATGCATTTTATGTTGGAAAAGCGCGCGCGTAGAAATAATATTTACGCACTTTTATATATTTAATATAGTCGTATTTATTAAATTTTGTTTTATTAAAGCCGAGATACCGTTGTGTCTGATATAATTCGATCAAATTAAAAGATTGCTGTGCAGGTTTAAAATATTGACCGTTGCAGAGTGATGTTCAAACTAATTCATTTTTATTAAAACAGATATGTGTGTGCGTGTGCATGTGTCTTGATATCTTTCCTTCAAATATTTTCGCTATGAAGTAAAAATGAATGCAATTTGATAGACATCCTACTAGTCTGTCTATCAAATTATTCTAATGACATAGATAAAAACTATCATATCTCAGAACTTGATAAAATAGGACCAATAACATATTTATTTAAATTAAAGTTTTAGACTTTAATTCAAATACAAAATGCCGACGTATTTTTCGTACTTACATTATTACGCTACTTGATTCTTATTTTACAGAAGAACGATTTCACGTCCATCGGAAGCGCGATAATTTTCCCTTTCCAATGGTCCTTGTTTCAAGTCGCTACGATGTCTATAAGTGGAGTTATAGACGATTATATTGATCAACGTTTTCGATCGGCCGGCGTTATCGCTGTGGATAAATCGTGACGCGACGCGTGAATGGAATGCGGAGCGCGACTTTCTCTGGGCCAGTGTTGCTGACGGAAAAAAAACTTTACTACCAGAAAAATGTACCAGATTTCGTCAAATATCTTCATGAATCTTTGAGCTAAAACCAATGAGAGAGAAATTCTAGTTGTTCAAAGATTCGGTTTCGTGAAAATTTCTAAGCCCTGAAAGAATGAAATTTTTTTTAATAATTCCAGCGTTCCGACTGGAGTTCTGGATAGCACCACAAGAGTCACCACGAAAGACGTGTCAAAATGTACCAAATCTATAATAATTTTTAATGCATTTATTCAAGATTAGCATGAAAGATTATATTATTTTATTTTTTGCATGCGAAAATGAGCAAAATAAATAGAATAACACTAGAACCAATCGACAATCTAGTATTCTTCTAGTTACTTTACATATTCATTAGAAGATGAATACACGCTAAGGGAAAAGACTTCTAACTGACCACCTGGGCTGCGTTCCAAAACTCTATTTAACGGATAGCATTTAATTGACCAATTAGACTAAAGATAACTAAGATTTCTTTGTCATGATTGGTTAATTGAATGTTACTCTACACGCCGAGTAGGATTTTGGAACGCAGATCTGGTAAAGCAAAAAGTACCAAATGTATCAAGACTGGCCTTATTTGTACCAATTTTATGCATTGTAGTACCAACGTACCAATTGTGAAGAAAAAATACCAAATCTGGTACAAATGTACCAATTCTGGCAACCCCGGGCGGTCACCTGTGCCGGCATGCTACCTCCACTCCGCGGCTCAGTGCCGCAGAGTCGTCCCGCTCGCTCGCTTACTACAGCAGCGCGGTCGTTCACCTCATTTTAAAAGCAAATGCGCCGGCGCGAGAACGAATTCCAGTGTCGCACAATTTCGAGCCCAAACCTAAACCTCGATACTGCAGCTTTAATTCGTCTATAACTCACGATTAAATTAACGTAGAGCGACATGTAAACGTAGAGCGACATATAAAAAGAAATTTCTTTACGCATCTATGTCTCCCTTTTACTGTCAATTTAAAGGATAATTTTGAAAGAGAAATTTTTCTTTAATTTTATAAGTTGTATTTGCATATACATACACACGAGTGTTGAGTATATATTATGTCAGACATTCTGACATTTCTATGGTCAATAAAAAAAAAATATACAACAGAAACAAAAAATATTATGAATAGAGACAAAAAAATTTGTTGTTTTATATATCCATTAATTATACAGGGTGTCTGGGTTTAGGTACACACACAGACAGAGATTGTCAAATTGATCGCATTATAATTCTATTAGAAAGACATTATGAGTAACTATCATAAGTTGAACGTGAATAATTCGTTTCCTGCGAAATATTTTTATTCTTATAATTCAAAATATAGGTATTTATTCAGACAGGTGCCGCCGTTTCACGCGATCTTAGGGTGCGACGATACACCGGCGGCCCGAAGGGAGCCATTTAGCCGTCTGCTATAGGGGAGAGAGCCAATAATGTCGCATTCCACGGAATGAAGATTTATCGCGCGTCATCAAACGTGTTCAATTTCCTTACGAATTTCTCCCACCAAGGATTTGCCCGAAGGATTTGCTGCACTTTGTCATGAACGCGGCTCAAAAAATATGTCGTCCTCCGCGCGACAGAAATTAACAATACATTTCACGTGTATCAGAATGAAAGAGAAATTGAAGGAAGTGTTGTGAATCAGTGATCATAAGTTATACTTATTCCACGTCTTGCCGCTTCGCTCTGGGAGGAGAGGAGGAGAATGGACGTAGCGGAGAGAGAGAGAGAGAGAGAGAGAGAGAGAGAGAGAGAGAGAGAGAGAGAGAGAGAGAGAGAGA